CACAAGGACAGCTGAGATATACTAATGCTTTTTGCAAACTTCTATGTTCCTACGGAGCCACCATATCCTCCTTCATTGACGCTCGCTTGTCTACCGATTGTCCGTTGGGACGTTGCTGCCATGTGTATATCACTACGACATGTGTGGCAATCATGCACCACCATCTTCCGCTATCATGTGAGCTTGAGTGACTTGAACTGCATCACACTCACACTTTGTATGGCCGGCTAGGGTGGCTCCAAGTGTGGCGCCGAGTTACGCCACACCGCCGTGCGTGCTCGCTACCATGCTTAGGATATGTAGCATATTCCACGTATCGAATGTTCATTTTGATGCGCGGGGTGCGCGGCACATAAACCACACCGCCAAGTCGACTCGCAAGGGATCGCGAGGTAGATGGGACCTGAGCTTGGAGTATGCATATTCCCGTCCGCGCAGTCAGTGCGAATCATCTTCCCGAGGCTCGCGCACCAGGAATAATAAGGCATGCAACACGACAGTTTCAATGGACGCTCCTGGGCAGATCTGGCAGCAGGTGCGGGCCAGCGTGTTGTGTATCGACCGGAGCCATCAATGGCGGATGGGACTACGATGTCTGGCGCATGGGAGGCGCTCTAACGACAAGGGCACCGTGGGGCAAGCTTTTTTCTGCACCAGATGAAATAACACCCCTCAAATCTGGACAATCGGGATATGCTGCATCAAAGTCGCGTGAAGTGACCCATTTGTCCGAGTGAGGATGCCCAACCTATCCGTTTCGACCCCATACACCCCGCCAAATTGGCATGACCGTGTTTCCTAGGGATGTAGTCTGAGTATATGTGCCATGCTGTACTCACTGCCACCCTCGAGCACCATTCCTTCCATATCCTCCCCGTGAAGAGCCAGCCGAATTCGGGCCAACCGTGGTGCGTCGAAGTTGGTAATGAAGGGTGCAGAGATGGAGACGCTCAGCAAGCTGGAGGGGAGCGCAGGGGACCTGTGATGGAAAATGCGTGGCGTACCACTGCTGCGTGAGCAGGCTTTCGAGTGCAATGGGTGGCGTGCGAGCACCAGCGAGCCCATAGACAGCGTGAATGACATCCCCACATGCTCAGAATTGCGCCACGTGTATGCAGGTATACGTGTGTTCCTTTAGCGTGGTGCGATACGGCGTGTGCTCTTCGTTCGAGTCGGGTCATACCAAGGGTCTTTGGGACGAGGTACCGAGAGATATCGAAGTATTTTAGAGACTCCGTGGGGAGCAATGTCGTGAGTATGAAGCTGGAATAGCCACTCCCCAGCGACAGGCACGCCTTCCGGGAAAAAAGTCAGTAACACGGATGCGATAGAGGACAGGAGGAGCAATGAAGAAAAGGAGGCGGCCAAACCGGGCAGTCGAAGGACATTACGATGCCAGAGCAGATCATCATAGATGCACTTCAGGTGCATGGGGATGCAGGGGATATGCATGTGCACATTTGCCTTACCCGTACTAGTAGGCCGTGTTTTGGGGTGCCGTCAGCATCTGCATGCAATCCTGCAATCATCGTTGGTCAGAGTGAAACATGCGGCATGAGAGAGCTCGACGGACGTACTGTTTCCTTCGATACAGATGCTATATTGATCGCAATACATGGAGCTCATATAAACAGGGAGGAGAATGAGAGCTATCCCGAGGATGTGAGAGTGGGATATGGGGAGCTGCATGCTCGGGGAAGGCTTATATCTTGCAAGACGTTTTTGATGCCCTTGAACGCAATTTCCAGTGGTCTTTGAGTTTTCGTGCGAATTTCGTCTTGCATTGTCACTGTCGTGCGTAATTCGACATCGGAGACTCCGAGTACATTGTCCAGGCCTCTGAAATCTGCTAATGTATGGACATTGGATCGTGTGTGTTGATCGTCGATTATTGCCGTCGAGTGGCACGGACAGTTTACACTCAGCACATAATATACGGGTGGAAGGAACGACGTAGTGTCTTGCTCAAGCGCATTGTCAGAAGATATAGGATGCATCACGGAAATGGCGTTACAATGTAAAGACTTTGTAGGAAGCCACTACTTACTCGCTCCGAGAGTAATTTCCTGCTGTCATAATGTATGGTGTGATCACTCGATTATGGACCAGAACAGAGACGGGTAGAAGGCAACTATGGCCAATTTACCTTGATATGCTGATCGAAGGGGACTAGTGACGCACGGACCATGATAAGCGCCAGGGGACGGCGCTAAGCGCGGTGATTGCAACTTGTCCTCTTACTTACTTCTTGAGTACGGTTGTCGCGAAATCACGTCAAACAGCCCGCTCGGCGGTTCAGGTAGCAGATATGGGCATACATGATCTCAACCCAGCACGGCCGGTCTGGCAGTATCGTCAACTTGGCCACCCGTGGCAAAAAGAGCCCAGACACCACTCATGTCGAAAGTGAGAACCGCGTAAGTCATACATACAAACAGATCCTATTTGAGACGAATCTAACTAATTACTATCTTTGGAAGGTCTCTGCCGTCACCTCGTGTCCGAATCACGACGTAAGCGGTAGTGTGTGTTCCAGAGTTTCACGGCTTGAGGCTTAGGCCAGGCATGGTACTACTCACGAGGAGCCGCGGGGACCGATTGACTGTTATCTCTGTCCCTCACCTCGTGATATCCGCACTAGGCATTGAACTCTCGAGATGCGCTCGGACTCCTTCTCGCCTTTGACTTTCATGCTCGTACGCGCCAATCAGTGATCCTTCTTTACTACCTGGAATCGCACTATGTGACTGGTCTACTGGTCTATCCGAGGCGCTCAACCCTAAAAACCACTCTGACTGCGGATAAGAAGCGTGCTCATTGCCCCACTTTAATTTTGATGGTCTTTGTGATCGCAAATTCATCCCCTACCTAAGGTGTGCCTGCAACGTGGCGAGAATGCAACAGCAAGCGCCGAAGCGCCATATCATGGACCCGCTACTGCGGTTCTCAACTGTGTACCGTGACCGGTGTTCATATGAATAATTAGTTGTTATGACGCACACCATGCACCATGGGTCACACGGCGAACATCATCCCAACAGGTCGGAAATGTCA